CTTGGACCCCCATGGACAGGGGGCTGCTACCACAAAGCAGCCTCCCCTGCTTCCCCCTCCCTTTCCACCCCCCCGCCATGCTACCTCTGATAGAGACAACAGTGCAGTGGAGGAAAGCAGGTGGCACTGCAGAGTCAGTGCTGGGGGGAACTGGCTTTTAAGCCAGCTCACCCCAACACCGGTTCCAGCTTCTGTCCCCCCTTGCTGCCTTTGATACAGATTTTGGATCTTGTTCAGCATAAAAGCTTTACGATGCTGACATTAACCTGGTGCACCTAATGCTGGAACATGTCCAGAGTGTACCCAGGGTCTGCCAGAATGAGGAAGACTCTCAGAAGGCCATGAACATACTGTTTGTCGAAGCACTTGAGCTGAGCAAATTGCAAATACTGCCAGCATTCGATCTTCTGGATATAGTGGAATGCAGGTTCTGGTGCCGTGAGATAAGCACAGACTGGTGGGACCACATTGTAATGCAGGTTTGAGATGATCAGCAGTGGCTATAAAACTTTTGCATGCATAAGGCCACTTTCATGGAAGTTTGCTAATTACTTCCCCCACATGAGAATATCAGAATGAGACTGGATCTGACAATGGAGAAGCAATTGGCAATAGCCCTGTGGAAGCTTGCAATGCTAGACAGCTACTGGTCCATTGGTAATTAATTTGGAGAGGGGAATTCTACATTAGGGGTGTTCCCTAACTGTGGCGGGGCAATAGATGGAATGCACATCTCCATTTTTGCACCCAGCCACTTTGCAAAGGGGAACCAAAGTGCTTGCAGTACTTCTCGATGGTTCCAGGGGCTGGTGGATCACAAAGGCTGTTTCACTGACATCCGTGTGGGATGGCTGGGAAAGGTGCTTGATGTGTGCATCTTTAGGAACTGCAAGTTGTAACTTTTTCCCAGACCCGAAAAATTACAATCAAAGATGTTGAAATGCCAATAGCGATCGTTGGAGACCTATACTGCTCCTTGCTCTGGTGGCTCATGAAGCCCCATACAGGCAGCCTGAACCACAAGGAGCAGTTAAACTACAGGATGAGCAAGTGAAGAATGGTCGTATAATGTGCTTTTGGGTATTTAGAAGGAAGGCTCCGCAGTCTGCCAACTAGAGTAGATGTAAGCGAGAGCAACATTCCCATTGTGGTGGCAGCCTGCTGTGTGCTCCATAATATTTGTGAGCGGAAGGGGGGAATATATTTGTCTGGGTGGAATGCCAAGGCATAGCACCTAGCCAGGGATTTTGATCAACCAGACATCAGGGAAATAAGGAGAGCACAGTGAGGGACAGTGCTAGTTAGAGCTTGAGAGATAGTTTTATGATACCCAGTTTTGACAGTCATGCATGTTGCTCTCAGTGAGGTACCCCCCCCCCCCCAACACAAGCAAGAAAGAGACTGTGGTTCACAAATCATGCGTTTTTAATAAGGGAACACAGAGCAGTGACAGAAAAGGAGCCCAGGGCGAGAGCTTTGGGGGGAGTGTGTGCTAACAATTGTGAGGAGAGTGTTTTGCTTCTCGACACATCCCTGGGAGTTGAGTGTGAGTCTGTCCTTGACTCCTCTCTCCCCCGCCCACTCCCGCCTTCTAGAGCCCCTGGGAGAGGAGGCCTATGGAACTTGGTAAAGAGGGAATGTTGGTTTGCAAGGGGTGGAGGCGGTGCCTGTCCAGGAAGGAGTACCGGATGACAACACTCTCTCCTGGTGCTTCTCTCCCTGTCCAAGTTGGCAGATTGCATTTGCTCCTGGGACATCTCTTCCCTTGTCCATTTTCACCTGTGGATTTGTGTGAGGCAGACAGCGGGTAGGGGGAATGCACACCAGGCTCATTGCTGTTCCCATGGTAACAAAAAGAGAAGAGCATGCTTTACAGGAGCTCCACTGTAGAATGTAAAGCCTAATCTGTTAGAACAAAATGAAGGTCTGTCTAAAGCAGTGTTTCTTAAACTATGTTCCATGAAACACTGCTAATCCGTGAACAACTCGCAGGTGTGCCGCGACCTCTTCCTTGTTATTATTACTTCTTTGCTTTTGTCTTTTTTTGTCTGACAACAATTTTTCTTTTTTGAAGAAAATTTCCATAGGTGTTCCGCATAAAAAAACATTATTGTTTGGTGTTCCGTGGTCTCAAAAAGTTTAAGAAACACTGGTCTAAAGACCATAAGGACATGTTATGAACAAGGCCACAGTTATCTTTCAGGTGGTTACTTTGCAGCAGGTACACCTCAGGGTTCTTGATGGAGCAGCTGGACTTGGTTTTCTGGCAGGCAGGGCAAGGAACAAGCCAGGGCATGAACCTTCGGGGAGAAAGGATTAGAGGGCCTGGGCATGGCAGCGGCTCACACAGCACCTGCGTGTTCAGCACTCCCCGTTTGCCAGGAGAGTGCAACTTTCCCTTGCTGCAGGCACAAGTAAGCAAATGGGAAGTGGGAGGGGGCCCAGTTGTGACAGTAGGGTAGGGGCTTATGTGGCACCCATGTGTTCCGCCTCCCTTCCTCCCCCCATTTTCTGGGATAGTGTAACTTTCCCAGAAACCAAGAACATCAATTTTCACGGTGCTGTGTCTGCACTACCCAAAAGTCAATTGGTCAAGATCAAATTTAGTGGCTACTCCTCATATAAAAGCAGGAGTACAGAAATCAGCTTTAATGGCCCTTTAAGTCGGGCTTAGTAGTGTGGAACAGGGAACAGGCTTAGTGGTGTGGACTCATTGTTTAGAAAATCGACTGAATGAGGCTAAATTCGACCTAATCTCCCTATGTAGACCAGGCCCGATGAGCTATTTACATGAATGCCTACTAACAAATGATGATGGCTGTAAATAAATGCTTTATTGGGAATGCATTCCTAGAGTGCCTGAGGTATACCACAATCTAGCCCTTCCTCACTGTACACGATGAAAGCATGTACTTTGTACTAGTCTGCTTCCTACGGGAGAGATTTATTTTAGTTTTGTATCTATGCACCTATGATAGGAAGAAGGCCATCAGGATGTGTCTTCTACTTCTGGCTCTTCTTTTACACAAATAGTGAAGCTGCCATCCTTAAAAGAATGCTAGGGGAGTGCTGATTTGCTCTGTGCATGCTTGGTTCTAGTAATACATTAGGAAATGTAGATATGTGTAATACTTGTTAGGTACATCAGTAAACTATTACAGTTAACCATTACATTTGTCTATTTTGTATAATTTATAATAATACAGTGCATACAGATGAGTAAAAATAAAAATATCAGCTGGTTGTAGTAAAATATTGTTATTATTACTTCATGCATTGATGAACTTTCATTTTGAAAGTCTGCTATTCAAAGGAAAACAATGAAGTGTGCAATCACAATTAATTCCAGAGATTAATGTTATGTCTACATGAACAGAAACACAGTACAGCGGCTATTCATTACTATTATGAAATAAATTATGGCTGTTTCTAATTAAAGGAATTTTTGAAATAATAATATACAACAGAACTTTGGTTACATACACAGAGAAAAGTCACCCCAGATCAATTCCATGGAAGTCATGGGAGCTCCATCCATAATGGCATATAGAACCTAAAGAGAAAGGAGAAATTATAGCAGATTTGTTATTATACATTATTTTATGGAAATTTAAAGAGATGTTGTCCATGTTTGAAGGCCCCTAATTTGACCTACTGTGCAAATTTATCCCTTTATATCAGTTGCAAGCAGGGAAGTAAATAAGGAACCCTGGGAGATGCGACTTTCCTTGCAACTAACCTTGGACTAACAAGGATTGGGACCATGAGGTAACAAGCGCAAATGGTTTTAATTGCTTTAACCTACTCTGGAGAGAGGGGAAAGGGGAAACTCACTCTCACTATCTGCAATCTCACTTGCAGGCTGACGAAATACAGACTGAGCGCCAGGCACAAGAAGGAGTTCATGCTGAGTTCATACTGTTGATCTCTTCCCGTGATGACTCCAGAACTGGTTTGTTGGCCAGGCTATCCGAGCAAAGGACACCCTCAGGAGGTCCTGCTTCGTGATCCCCCTTTCGGGTTCTCTCTCTTTCATGGATCGATGATGTACAGGCCATGTGCAGCTTCTGGGTACATTGGCCTTCTTCACTGTCCTTGCTGGGCCATTTGCACTCTATGCTGGGGGCAGTGTGCACTCAAGTTCAGGTGATAAAAGTTCATCACCCATTGCATGTTCGTTTCCCACACATACTATGCATTCATTCAGGAAGGGGGAACCGTAAGGGGAACTTACAGAACTTAAGCCGATAACAATTCAGCTTTATAGCAATTATAACTTGCAAACAGAGAACAACATCCTTTGCCCACAACAGTATCTACTTATAAAGCCTATGTCATTCTTTTTATGTGTGTTTTTCTCAAGCCAATGATTTACTATGCTATTTAAAAAAAAAAAAGTATTACAGCTAATCCAACACTGCTGTATAACCTTGCAACAATAAACCAAAAGGCCATGTTAAATAGCTAATGATAGCCAATGGAGAATTGCCCTTGCATAGGGGAATTTTTTCTAGATAGCAGAGATCTCTCTGCCACTTCCTATGCCAGCTGTCTCTCTCCCATACTCCAGTCTATTGCAAGATGAGGCAGCGGTGTGTCAGGAATGTTCTATGGGTGAGTCATAGGCAGAGCATAGACAGGAGAAGGTGCAGTGGAGCAAAGCTCCATTAAGCCTGGTCCCTCACTGTTATGAGTTCTGATACCAGCAGCAAATGTTAGAGTAGGAGGGGGCCTGCTCTAATTTCCAATGGAGTTGGGAAGCTAAGGATTAAGGAGCAGCAATTGGCTCCTTGTCGCCATACCTCCCTTGTATCCATGTGTAGTTCAACTAGAGTGGAGAATCAGGGCCTCTATGGTGAATGTCCAAGGGGACATTATAGACACAAATGAGTTGTGCATTACTTATATGTTTTGTACTGGGCATGGGCAACAGGAATAAGAGGCAAGGTGATGTAATGCCTTCTCTGAGTCTTAGAGCTCAGCCTGTCCCCTCTTCCTATCCCTATTCTGACCCTGCTGGCTCCCACAGCAAACTTGAACAAAGGAGGTTTTATTAGACTCCATATCCCACTGAAATAAAATAACCTTTTGGAAATAAAAATCAGATGAGACACAATGCATAGGAATAATTCAGGCAGATTACTGGAAACTCCATGAGCTGATACATACAACATTTCCTCATAATTCTTCTATTGCAGGGCATGGGGAAGGTTTGAAATGGCGGTAGCTCAGCCCACAAAGACTGCAAATTTCCAAGTTGCCACCAGAAACCAAGGTCCTCTGCACAGAGGCTCTGTTCCTCTTCGTTGATTCCTGCTTCTTGAGGTTCCTTGTCTGTTGGGCTTCTAATAAACTCTGCATCCAGAGGTCCCCCATGTCATCCCCACCCACTGGAATTCCCCCTCACAATTGGCTTTGCAGTATGGAGTGGAAAGTAGCACATGTTAATGCTGCCTTGGTCAAGAAGAAGTTGTGCTGTTTTGTCCCGAGCAACTGGAGTGGAGGAATGATGTCATTGTACGGCAAGCCCACACCACCAACCCTTTCCTACTGTTGGCATTACCCATTTGAGCAATGAAGCCCAAACCCCAGGAAGGAAGGGGTGGCCTTGGGAACTACAAGAACATGTACTCCACTTCCACGCCCCTGGATAGAAATAAAAAAGTTTCAGTTTCCTTCTACTCATATCAGTGGATGGGAGCATTTGACCTCTCAGATGTAGCCATGTTGCTCTCAAATTAGGCTTCTTATTTATCAGTTTTGCATTACTTGTATGCTCTGTAGTAAGCAGAGGCAATGTGTATAAGAGGCAAGGTGATGTAATGCCTTCACTGGGTCTTAGTGCTCAATCTGCCCCCTCTTCTTATCCCTATTCAGACCCTGCAGGCTCCCCCAGCAGTCTGTTAGAGTCTCATTTAAACATTTTATTAGTTTGTTGCTGACAATTATAAAATCACATCTCTAAAAAATCCTTGAATAGCTCATTGAATCAGAATCACAGAATAGAATCAGAACCACAGAACACTGGAAGGAACCTCGAGAGGTCATCGAGTCCATCCCCTGCCTTCACGGCAGGACCCAGTACCGTCTAGAGTAGACCATCCCTGACAGATGTCTATCTAACCTGCTCTTAAATATCTTCAGAGATGAAGATTCCACAACCTCCCAAGGCAACTTATTCCAGTGTTTAGATGCACAATCTGAGTACTGTATTCAGCTTTAGCCTTAAATGCTTTGTTCTTCAGACATTTAGTTTTTAAAATAAATTCTTCAAAAGAGCACCCTTATCTAAAATACACAATGTAATTTTAATTATAATACAAATACTTGCTTCCCAAGTCTTCCTATCCTTTCTCTCCGTCCTTTTTCTCCATTGGCAATGTGTGGGGTGCACAACCGAGAGTGTGTGTCTCCCCAAACTCTGTGGGCAGGAGAGGCAAGGGCACAGTCAGCAGTCAGTGCGGGGACTAGCGGAGGGGGTTTGCAGAGATTACAGGGGCCTGGCGCTGGGTGGCAGCAGGAGTTGCCCCTGGGTTCCTCCCATCCATATGAAGGCTTAAGAGAACATTTAAAATAAAAAATCAGCTTAAAATACTGATAAAGTAAAACAGAGAAGGGCTGCATCATGTATTCCATAATATTTAATGTTAGCAGGATAGCTGACTTGCCCTTTCTACAAAGTTTTTGCAAATAAATCTCTGACCAACTTCAGGATATATCAAAAACCTGTGCCTGACTGTTATTCCTAAATTTAATGCTTTTAATTAGGTACCTTCCAGTCTTCACAATCCCACATGCCGTGGAAAACATGCTCCATTTTCTTCAGAAAGACATTTTAGAAAACTGGTTTTTGTAAATATCATTTGCTACATTTGGGTTTAGGGATTTGGCTGGAAAGGGTAAGCAGAGAGGGGGAGGGAAGAGAAGAGAAAGACTGTGAGAAGGGGGCAGGGCCCGGGCAGAGCAGAGGTGCAGTATGGTTGGGGCCACGGGCCGTGGAACTTGCCTCTTCAACCAGCAGCTTCACTCACCACCTATGGTATTGGGGCTTGGGTCAGGGTTGATCTCCATATGCTGTGAAAATGACTAGTAGTTCTATTAAGTGCTCCAATTTCCTGGAAACACTCTGCTTTATATAAAGATGTGAAGAAAACCTCTCTGTAAATAAGTGCCAAAACACTGAGCCATCAAATTAATGTAATGAAACATGGTAACAGTCATTGAAAAGAGAGCGCTGCAAATTCTAAGCACTTGCAATTTTTGTTGATCTGAGATAAAAACGGGGGAGGGGGGAAATGTACATCAGAGAAATTTGTCATGAAAGTATTACTGACAACTTCTTTTTTATGTTAATTTTTTAAACCAGGCCTATTTACTTGTCAATTGCAAATTAAATCAGTGAGAGAGATTCAATTAACACATTATACTATTCCCTGTGAGTACAAACATGACTCACAGCAATTCATACAGAAGACCAGCTCTTGCTTAGTTTAGCTACTAATGACCTGCTTTGTTTATAAAGGGATCCTATTAACCAAACAAAGACAACTTAATAAATTCAATTTAAAGTAATTTCAGGTACCAACCCTGCAAGGAGGCCTTGTGCCAATTTTTGTAGTTCTACAATCAGATTTTTCTGTTAATTTCTAAGGTTATTTCTCTTCTGTTGCCCCATGAAAATTATCTGCCCTGGAAAATTAGGTTGTATTAGAACATGACCTTGGGGAGTTAGCACAATGATAAAGAAAATGTTGCAGTCTTAACACAGGAGTCAGTAATGTTTAATAGTGTAACTAACAGTTATAAAAAAACAGTGTAATGCTGAGCAGTCTTCTGAAAGCCACTTCCCAATACCATTTCCCCTTGTCTATAGTGCCCGGTCAGTCTGGGTCAGGATTCTACCACTTTGGTTCAAAGGCAATATGCTGCATGGCAGGACAGAGGTCAACTATGTGAACTGAAATATTTCCTTGTTTGCGCATGCAAGGGCTATAATATCAGTGGTTGGAAACCACTTGTAAGTGTTGGAGATGGGAAAAGGCCATAAGAAAGGTTTGTGAACAGAAACTCGTCCATTAGGTGCTACAATAATGCCACCAACTCATAGCATACAAATGGTAATAAGGACTTTTAACCAGTGTCAACTTGAGCTAGATTCCAAGTGCTGACTTAGGGCCTGATTCAAAGCAGTCAGAGACTTTTTATTTACATTATTGGGCTACAAAACAGGCCCTTAAAGGTAGGAGTCTCTGTATTCTGTTAATAAGCCCCTGAAATATTCAGTCCCCTTTCTTTGCATTTTAAACTCAGGATTAATCTACACTACCACGCTACGCTGGTGCAGCTGCACCACTGTAGCACCTCTGGTGAAGAGTGCTCTCCCCTTGGGATAGACACTCCACCTCAGCAAAAGGCAGAAGCTATGTGAGCAGGAGAGCATCTCCCAGGGTATGTCTACACTACCCCGCTAGTTCGAACTAGCGGGGTAGTGTAGACATACCCTGGGAGAAAACAGAGGGGTACGGTTTCTTGAAGAAACAGTTTCTGAACATGAAAATTGCCTGTTGTTGCTTATTTCTACTATGTTCAGAGAAATATATTGTGCACATTTTTTGTTGTAAATACAAAAATTACACCTGGAAAATACCTGGACTCATATCACAAATTTCATATCCCAGTGGAAATAAACTCGTAGAGCTCCAAATTTTGGGTGACCATTCGCACCAACAGACAATGAGAGATTCTATTAGCATGTTTAATCTAAATTTTTTCTTTTAATTTTAAATATTAATCTACATTTATGTGGTTGTCTGGAGGATGAAAGGAAGGCACTGTAGTACATAATTGGACATTCAGAAAACAATTTTTATTTAAAATAAATTATCTGGCTCGGGACAGTTTTGCAGAGTTTGATAAGCAATGTGGGATTTTTGTTTGTTTTTAAATATCACATTGTAGTCAATGAAAATGTATAGTAGTGATGGATTTGTATCAATAAAGATCTTCTCTGAGACTTGCTCTGTCTTTCTATCCTCAGGATAACTCTTCCATATTGTTTCCCTTTTGTTTTAGTTGGCCACAAGGTCACTTTGATTATCTTCATAAAAGGAAGAGACAGAAAATACCTATTTGATTATCATCTCCATCCCTCTGTGAATGCAGCATTTAAATCCTTGACAGGAGACATATCAGATGTTAAATTGATATTTTATTTATCAGTGCCATGTTTAATCTGTAAATCCATCTAATGAGAGAAAGGTCTACAGTTTGGTTCCAATAAAAATATTTTGAGCATTTAATTGACTTTGCTTCTGATCCCTTATTGAACTTGCAGCAGCCTCTGTCATTTGTTGCTGAGTCAAAGAAGGCTACATTAGGTAATCCTGGATATTAAGGCAATAGATCTTCCATCCCCAGGTTAATTAGAGATTAAGAGAAGCAATACGGATGATCAAGGAGAGCAAAACAAACTCAGATATAATCTTAATCAACATTACCTCACTTATCAGGAACGAATGTTGTTGCTTTTGTCATAACTTTTTGGACTTTTCTTATCATTTCTGTGCCCAAGATTGTCTCTTTCTCTTTTCAAAAGCCTGTCTGAAAAAAACCCCAGAGGGGTATTTTCCTGATTTAAAAAATAAGACGTTTATCACAAAAAAATGAAATGTGTCTTATTTGCTAAAGCCCCATTAAGATGTCACTATTTCCATTGATTTGTGTGAGATGTCTGTCAGTGTTAGAAGGGGAGCAAAAAATTGCAGATATTTTGTTCTATCATGTTAGTGTTTTCTTTACTGAATAAGGAAGAACCCCATTAATATTACTTTTAAAGGAACTAATTTGGCAAAGCAATATGAAGTAAAGGTGACGATATATTTTCTGAGTCTGAACAAAAAACATCAGATTTTTTGTTTACCTTTTGTTCCATTTCATGGCATTAAGTTGGCCAACATTCACATGGCTAAGGATCTATTTTCACAGCTCCAAGGTAATGATACAGGTTGGCATCCCTAAGCAAGAAATGAAATAGTCAGATTGGACACAACATATCCAATCCCCAGCACTGTAGCTTCACACATTGTATCTGCAAAGTGCACAGCAGAGCAAATCTGGTGAGTTTTGAAAGATATCCCAGGAGAAGAGCAGGAATAATAGAGACTGCACTTCAAGGACTTTGGCAAATCCCTTTATGGGAATATGCATGTGCAAGTTTCTCTCAAAAAAACACCAATTTTGCAATGTATGTACTACATGACATTTATTAGTACTATACAGCATCAATGGAGCACACATTAAATGTATTAAGAACTAACTGATGAATCTCAAAAAGCAGTTGTGAATGGATAATCGTTAGGAAAGCGGGGGGTGTTTCTAATGGGGTGCTGCTGGGATCATTACTAAGCCCAACACTTTCATCAATGACCTGGAAGTAAATACAAAATCACTGCTAATGAAATTTGCAGATGACAGAAAGCTCAGCTGAATGACAGATAACGACAAGGACAAGGCAATCATGCAGAACAATCTGGATCACTTGGTAAGCTGACCAGAGGCAATGGGAAGGCTGAGGTTTGGAGCTGGGTGTGGGTTTGCCAAGAAGCCAGAGGCACAAAGGGAGGTCAGACACTGCTGGAACTTTGGCCGTGGCAGGCAGGCACTCATCTTGGCCTCAGAGCAGGCAGAGGAAGTGGTGAGGTCAGGGTGTCTGTGGCAGAATGGTGTTCCCGGTTCTCCTCCGTAGGCCTCCAGGCCGGTTTCCTACCATGGGTTCTGCCTGCTCTGCCTCTCTGAGGCAAATAATACTGTTCTAACCAGCCATTTCTCCTGAGTCCAGCCCCTAACTCCAAGGCACCCCCTTTCCCTTGCACCATAGGGACTGGGCTAGAGGAGGAGGGGGCCTGGACCGCTCCATATCACACCCTCCCCCCCTACAGAGGAACTATTGGAGGGCTGAAAACAGATCCCACAATATTTCTATTATGGTGAAGCTAGCCCTCACTGTTACTGCCACCTCTGAGCTGGGCCCATTGAAACAAAAGGCATTTTAATACAGCCAGCTACTGTTACACACATAGGAACACTGAATGAAGGCCATCACTACAGAAGAGGACTGTATCTGGGAAACCAGTAACTCTGAAAAAGATTTAGGCGTCATGGTAGACAAACAACTGAAAGTGAGCTCCCTGTGGGATGCTGTGGCAAAAAGGGCTAATGTGATCCTGTAGTGTAGGAAGAGAAGAGTAGTGAGTAAGAAGGTGATTTTACTTCTCCATACAGCGCTGGTAAATATGATGGTAGAGGACTGCATACAGGTCTGGTGCCCACATTTTTTAAAGGATGGTGAAAAGCTAGAGAGAGAACAGAAAAGACCCACAAAAGTGATTCAAAGGCTGGAGAAAATGCCTTACCGTGAAGGACATAAAGAGCTCAATCTCATTAGTTTCTCAAAAATAATACTGAGAGAAGACTTTATCACAGTAAATAAGTACCACGTGGGAAGAAAATACAGGACTTTCTATCCAGCAGAGAAAGGCAGAACAAGATCAAATGGCTGGAAGCTGAAGTCAGACAAACTTAAATTGAAAACAAGACACTTCTTTTTTAACACTGAACATGATTAACCATTGGAACAAACTGCCAAATGAAAAGTGGTGGATTTTCTATTGCTTGATGTCTTCATATCAAAACTGGAGGCCTTTCTGGAAACTATGTGTTAGCTTAACACAAGTTATGCTTTAGTCAACACAAATTATTAGGCTCAATAAAGGAGTACCTGGTTGAAATTTAATGGTCTATGATATCTGGGTCAGGCTAGATGACCTAATGTTCCTTCTGGCCTGAAACATGATGAATGTATATAATTCCTCAGCAACAAGACACGGGCAGTTTGGGGAGCTAGAGAGTATATATAGCAAGCATTGTTATGTACAATAGAGGAGTTTAGCCCAGTGTTCCCTGTAAGCTGAGCACTTGTGCAGCCACTGAAGAGAGATTCAACTGCTGCCCAGCTGATTAGCAAAGGTCTCACAGCTAGGTTTTGTTTCTGCTAGTGGTGCACATTTGCAGATGCCTCGGTGCACATAAACATTTATTCTGCGTTTTGGATTTAAAAAATCTGAACATGAATGAAAAAGGCTAGAGGGAATATTGATTGAGACCATCTCTCATTACTGCCTTACTTCAGAATTAATGTCCCTTTGCAAATGCATAGTCTTCACTCTCATTAAGTAGAACAGTGCATGTGGTCAGGCTTGCTAGCCCCTCAGTAGTGTACCAGTGTTACATGTACAGAGTTCTCGGCCACTCCCATTGTAGTCAAAATGTAGTGTTGGTATAAGACTATAAGTATCATCATGTAATAAATCCTATATAATGATTTGCCTATAAGTTTCATATGCTTCTCTGTTTCACCCTGCCAGTCACCCTTGTTTCTTGTTAGCATTACAAATTAGGTTGTGCTTCTTGTCTACATTGCACACTAAGTTGTGCAAAAGTCTTTTGTTATTTCTTTAGTAACTTTGCAATCTTTTATGTGAAATTCTCTATAAAATTGTTTGGCATGAGTGAAGAATGTGTGCATAGTTAAGGATAAGTGTGAAATCTATCACAAATCTCCAGATGGTCAAGAAGACTTCAGAAACTTGGAGATGATCAGAAAATACCCATTGTGCCAGAGGCTGAATGAATGAGCAGAATTGATGAACCTTGGAGACAGGCAGACACTCCCAAAAGATGAGATGACAAACAAGAGATAATGATGGAAAGCCTGACAACTCCTATCAAAGAATAACTGTGAAAATACCCAAGATTAACACCACTTAAGGATCAAGGATTGCAGCATGCCATTGAAAAACCCACAGACTCAAATGGGAATTTATAAGTATAAAAATGGGGAGCTTTTTTCAGAGGGCGTTGGAGTATCAAATTGCTATCGATAGAGGCCAGCTCCTCACTCATGTTCAATCTAACTGGACACTAGAGTGAACTTGAGCCACAACAGACTGATGACTATAAGAACATCTGCAGGACTTGCATGTGAATGCATATGTTGCATTTCATATTGCATTTTCAATAAACGCAGCATGTTTCCTTTTCCCCTGAAAAAGATCCTGTGTGCTTTTTATAAGCATAACATCATGCTCTAGGGTGAGACATCTTTACCCGGATTCTAAAGCTCAAGGTATAACCCTTTTTATTTAAATACCCACCCTTGCCCAATTCCTAGGGCTCAATATGTAACTTTCTGCATGTTTGCAGGACCTTTTATCAATAAAAGAGACTTATATAGTAATATGCTGTTCTTGTGCAAAAACTTGCTGGCTGTCTACACTTGCATGTGCATTCTTGCGCAAGTAAATTTACAGTCTAGCGTTGTAAAACAGGGCTTCTTCCAGAAGACTTATTCCTCTCCCCACGAGGAATAAACTCTCTTGTGCAAGAGCTCTTCCACAAGAGGGCAGTGTAGATAGGCAACATGAATTTCTTGCGCAAGAAGCCCCTATGGTTAAAATGGTCATCAGAGCTTTCTTGCGCAAGAGAACGTCCACACTACCATGGATGCTCTTGCGCAAAAGCACATCTCTTGCACAAAAGCACATGCCAGTGTAGACGCACTCCTGTGGAAGACTTTTTGCGCAAGAACTCTTCCGCAAAACAGTTCTTGCGCAAGAAGCTGCCAGTGTAGACGTAGCCATAGTGTCATGCTCACCAATCCTAATCAAAACAGGTGAACTTCCCCAGTAGGTAGGCAATTCTGAATTCTGGCTGTTACTTGAAGGTGATTTCTTCTTCCAGGTATTTCCTTCTTTTTGTTTTTCTGTTCCTTCTTTTCCTCTCCTGCTGATCTTCTTCTTGGACCCCAGTTTATATAGTTAAACTTGAGTCCTACTTAGCTATACCTTAAGCAATTATTTTACTAACATTTTATTAATACTAATTATATACCATCACCTTAATTCATTTACTTCTAGAAAAATTAGTTATCTAGCAGACAGAAACAATTAAAAACCAGACAGAGATCATACACACAATAGGAAAGTGGGGATCATAATAATAGAAGAGTAAAAGAATGAGGATTTCATAAACCCAACTGTTGATAAGCAGTTTCTTGCCAGATAAGTCTGTATCAAACTAAGTTTTCTTTAACCATCTTAAGATCTTCTGTTTCTTTATCTGGTGATACTGGTTGCTATTAGGACAGGGTCTCCTTATTATTACATTATTTTAATGCAATTTAGATACAATGAGAGTATGTGACTTCCTGCTTTTCTGCTAATGGCTGTTGCTCTTTCAGTTGGGCTGCACTTGAAGGCTTTGGGTCTTTAGGCCTTACAATATGGCAATAGAATAAAGGCCTTGTCCTTAAACCAGGATATATGATAGTTTGTGCATGCAATTGACACCACCAGGGAGATGGTCCGGACAGCACAGTGATCTTATCAGTTAACACTGGTTGAGAATGTCAGCAAGACCACACAGGTGCAGCCACGAACCATCCCATTGCAGAGGAGCAATAGGCATGCTTAAGATTCCAACCATTCCCAGTGGACAGAAGGTGATCTACCACAGTGGAAGTGTGATGTTATGATAATATAAGGAAGGTGAGGTACAGTCCTGTGTAATCAGGGGTGCTTGGACATGTTGGTGTTAGCTATGGTACTAGAAAGAAAAGCTAACTCTTTGGGCAGGACAGGGCATTCTTCCAGCAGGCATATGAAGTGACAGATGATCGTCTTAGCCTGGACATACACATAGCTCACTAGGCCAGTGCTCTATGGCACACATGTTCCCTGGGTCTTATCAGGATAGTTCTCACATTGCACAGGTGTGTTGCCCCAATTATTGTTGCTGAACAATGAAGTTGTAGTCAAGATCATTAAGCACTGTCACTCCCACATAGCAATCTCCGGCATAAGCAAGGCATCAGTGACAAGGTGCTTATCTATAAGAAAAGAATGTGATGAGTAGTGCTTGCATTGTATGTTCAAGTTCCCCATTTTCTCTGATTTGATTCTCTTTATTAATAATTAAGTTAGTGTCTTTGAGCCTCTGTCATGGAGCAGGCCTCCATTACGCTCTGTGCTGTACAACCATTGTGCTGGGGCACTGTGTTCTATGTGCTTTATGTTACCACATCTTCTTACTCCTGCATCCACACCAGGGATTGACTCTTCAGCTAACATGCTGAGGACATTGGCTAGAGAAGCTATGTACACTTCTAACCCCTCCCTTTGTTTCCCTGGTAATGCACACAATTCCATCTAGGTTCTGTTTGCCTTCTGTATCAGAAGTAAACAGAGGGCAGTCCATAGTTTCCAGCTGTCTTCCTACCCACTATCTTCTCATAAATTCCTTTTCAGCTAATAATATTTACACCTTTTGTAAAGCACTTTAAGTTGTACCAAGTAAAAGTGCTCTGTAAGAACTGGATATTTAATACTGTAAATTATACTTAGGGAAAAGCACATTAGAAATGCATAAACTATGATAAATTAGATCATCTTCTGCTGTTCTGAAGGAGTCCTTAATATGTACTACCACAATACAACCCCAAATCCCAGCCCATATGATTAGAAATATGACATGACAAATGGTATCAATATTCATATTGCCACTCTGGTTCCATCTGGCACAACTGTCTACGAACTGGTTCAACACCCACTCTTTCTTTTCACTAGCTGGCAACATGAGCAGGGGACTTAAGAAGTTGTGTAGAAAACTAAAGAAAATGCTAGCGCTCCTCATTTCTAAATAGGTACAAATTCTGATTTAGCTTGCAAGAGATCTCTCAGATTTACTTGAATCAGGAGAAGGATGATACACCTTTTCATATCACAATACCACCCACTCTTAGAGGATGTTGGGTGTTCTATATACAGCAGAGGTACATAATAGGAGCTGGGTCGTTCTAGCCACAAGTTAGCACTAGAGTGCATTGGCAGAAATGGGTAGAATTCTTGGACTGCTCCTATCTAAGTTATGTTGGCTCTGAACAGCTCTTTGACTCCCTCAGGAGAATCAGCTTCACTTACATTTACAAAAAAACCAATACAAGCAAAACACAAATGTTCTCTATTTAGATCAGAGCAAAAAAATAAAGTGCTGTTGCAGAGGTTCTGCTGGTAAACAGAAACCATGCAAAGATGAGTCATGGAAAGCATTTATAGACTCTTATTCAAGAAGCTCATGCATCTGAGAACACACTGGGTTGGGGTGAAAAGATGATGAGGGCAGAGAAGTAGGAACTGAAAAAAGCATAGTCTAGAATGAATGAGAGCAGTGGCTCTCGACCTTTTCTACAATATGACCCTATATTATTATAAAAAACGGTTTTGGGATGTGCACGCACACATTCTATTTCTCAGTCATAAAGAAAGGGAGGGTGCTGTCAGAAGCTCCAGGTTAAGAACTTTTGCTTTGGTCCTCTCTCCATACAAAAGTTACACTCCAATAACTGTACCAGTGTAGTTAAAGTGGTACAATCACTAATTTGGGATGCAATTATACAATATAGTATTGCTTATACTGGCTTGGCTTATTCCTATATGGAAAGAGGCATAAACTATACCAGTATAATGCTCTTTTATACTGATATAACTGCATCCACATTTGAATTATACCAATTTAATTATTTCATTAAAAATCATACCCCTATCTGAAATAGTAATACTGTTAAAATTAAGCTGTTTGTAGACCAGACCTAGGGAGTTCAATGCAGCTGAATCATCCAGATCATAGCATATTTTTATTCAAAATGTATAATTAAAAATGTGGATGATGAACTACAGCTAGGATATTTTACTGAAACAGATTATTGGTGGCACAGTGCATTTATAATTTTACAGAAAACTAAAAAAGAGTTACTTCAAAATTTTCTATAAAATGTATAAACATCAAGATCTACTTGGAATCAATTGAATTGTAGACATCATTGGAAGAGTAACAGTAAAGTTTAATGTAATTGAAATCTGTTCCTGCATCAGAAGGAAGAGATTTGCATAGGTAACTCCCATTTATGCTAATGAGAGCTGTGCATATAAATTCTTTGCTCAGTGATGGACTACAGCCTATTTGCATCATTTACATTTCCAGCGACACTTCTGTTTGAATAATATATTCTATTTATGTATCCATGTTGTCACTTAACTAAATTATACAGTCACAATTCATCAACAGTTCCAGTTTCTTCTGTAGAACCAAAGACAAGTTTACAAGTCTATAAATTCCTGGATTTGAATGCTCACTCATTCATGTCTGAGTTATAAACTACATTAACTACTCACCAGCACTTAATAACCTTGTTTTAGTAAGCTATCAAAAATCTTCCATAAAAGCTTTCCAATTCCTTCTGCTTTCTTTAGAATTCTAGGATGCGATTTATCATTCTAGGCCCGGTGCTTCATCAACTTTTAATAGTCCTTATTACCTTATTATCCACTCCAATGCAACAGTAAAAACCTTCTGATATTTCACTTCCTCCCCCCCACAGGAAAATGTATCCCAGTTCCTGGGATATTACCTTCTGTTGCTTCTGTGATTACTGGGGCGAAGAATTCCTTTAGGCCCTCCACATTATCAACCTCATCCATCACTAACTTTCTATTCCTGCCTCTCGCTGGCCCCTAGCAAATTTGTATGTTTGGTTATTTAATGTCATTTTTTTCTTTTTTTTATTTGCAATTTTAATCTTTGTCAGTATTCTACCCTTTTAATTTCTCTATGTATTTTCCATAGGCTTACTTTCCTCATAACAGGTTTTGTGGTATATATCCCACTTCAATTTTCTATTTTTAAATATAGTTTAGGAATCCTGAACTGTAACTAGGCTAAGCCGGGGGTGCAGCTGCCCCGTCTTCAAAGCAAGCAAAAAAAAAAAAAAGGGGGAGGGGGAACAAATATGCTTGCTTGGCCCAGATGCTAATATGCCTTCATACCATGCTATAAAAATCCTGTATGTTAATAAGCCAACAGTGACCAAAACATCATGCGGCTCTGCTGACCCATACTATAAATGTGTATCTTACATACAAATGAAAATCTTAAGTCAACATTTGTATAATTATTTTGTAATTAATGTGTAGACACCAATTACCTTTCTTTGCTCAGTACTTAAAAGGAACTGCAACTGCTTTATGGAAACAGAAAAAGTCATTGGGCTTTACCCTTAATTTCTGTGGTGTTCTTCATCTTCTACAGAAACGGTATTTGACAAATGACTATAACATTAAGTCTAAGCAAACCACAGCAAACGTTCCTACGTACCCTCTAGCAAAAGAATGTATTTATATAGTGACAAAAATGCACCAATATCACAGAAGGGTTTAGTAGATCTTTTATACTCTTGATTTTTATGTAATAAACTCCACTTTTAACGAAGTCCTAAAACTGGTTATAACATCATGATATGTCCTTAGTACCATTCTCATAAGTATGAGACTCATGAGTATGAGAACAATAAACACAAGATTTTGTCATATTTTTGTATGCTGGCGACTCCAATTAATGCACCTCAGCCTCCTATAGTACTATTACAATATTAGCTTTTCCTATGATTGAAAGATTAACTGAACACCCCCACCCCCCACCTGCGACTTGATAATATAGTGCAGTGTTTCCCAAATGGTGCTCTGCAGAACCCTGGGGTTCCACGAAGTGAAAATAAGAGTTCCACAAGAAAATTCCATTACAATAACATTTTATTATTTAAATAATAATTAATATTTACGCATTTATGAATGTTATTGAAAACAATTTTCATTTGTGTTGATCTCATGACCTTGTTTAACATTTGTTTATTATTATCTTTACTTATTTGTGGTCTACTTTTTCAGCTCCATATGTAAGACTGTTATTAGGGGTTCCACAAAATTCTTTCGAATTTAAAAGGGTTCTGTGGCCAAATAAAATTGGGAAACACTGATATAGTGCAAAATTAGAAATGTTAAAATACTAAATAGCTCAATAAACACAGAAGGCCAGCTAATCAATAATAAAGTTGCACCTTAGTATGTAAGAGTGTGGCTTACTCCAAATCCCTGAATTCCTCTATTTTCCTCAAGACATGGAACCATTTCTGTTGGTGGTGTAATCCACAAGAAAATCTAAACCACTTGTGGGCCACAGACCATAGTTTGTGAAGCAATGAGCTTCGCTGTTGAAAGAGAAAAAATATGTAGTAAGCAAATTACCACTTACCAACTTAAAAGTTTTAAGTTACCAACCTAAACATTGTCTACTCAGCAAGGGCGCCTTTTGTCTACTCAGCAAGAGTGCTCTGGGATGCGGCTTGCTTTTCATCCCATTCCCCGGAAGCTAAGGGAGTGACTGCAAAGTGCATGCCTCTCATACCTGGCTGGAGAAAGGAGCTCACCTGTCAGGTGTGAGAGGAATGCACGCAATGCAAGCCCTTTCCCCTCACTCCCTCAGCGTCCCGGGGAATGGGATGAAAAGTAAGCCATGTCTTGGAGTGCACAGCTGTTGGTCCCCCCCACGCCCTCCGCGTGCCCAAAATGGCTCCTTTGCTACTCAGGCCCCAATCAATTCAGGCTCTTTAGCATGTACTTCAATTTAACTGCTTTATGTGAGTAAAGTTAAGTAAGATTATTTGTACTTAAAATAAAGCACATGCACAAGTGCATGGATCGGGGCTTTAATACATTCTGTGAGGCAGGGAATCTACATGTTTATAAACCAATAATCATATTTGATGCTATATAAATAACAACAGCCTTAATTTAAAATGTAGTTTATGGAGAAATTCGTTATCCTTAACATTTACACACAAGTATGAGACCACCAGGTACAGTGGTTAATATTTAAGGTTCATTCTTATTTTTTATTTTGAAGAGAAACTGGAAAAAAAAATCTCATAGTATGTGAGTTGTGCAAGCTTTATCAGCTGTAGGTTTTTCTTGTTTCTAAAAATCTGGTTAGCTCAAGCATGACATCTTGAATATTCAGTGTTTAACCACCACTTTTTGATTATGTCAAAAGCTTATTATTCCTTAACAATATGAGAAAATTGGGTAACCTTCCCATCCCAATGTATTTATAGTCTGAGAAAGTTTTGATTAACAAAACTTCATAGACACACTGGGTTCTGTCTTTTATTGTAGTATTAATCAATACTAGCAAGCATATGTAAATAACCTCTGCTTGAAATAGAATTTCTTCAAAATACCTATTATAAATGGGATTCTTGGTTCAATACTTATTTACTCATTTCTTGATACTATTTTCTATTAAAGATTTACAAAACGTACACTGCCTGCATGCAGAAATGATTGCACACGTATTAAAGAGCATCCTACTCATTTCCTGAGAGGACAAAGGAATGCTAGTGCACCTCTAACACCACAACATTTGGGTCACAATCACACAGCTGCAGATACTCCCATTTTTGAAATGTACATGAGCATTGCAAATAAAAAACAGCACTTAGCTGTGATAACTCTTCTGTTTAGTTCCCCCACACACACATATTTAGATGTGACTAAAGCTCTCTATGATATATTCTGTGATGCTTCCCTCTCAGCACTGGAAATTACAGACTTTATTAAACTTGTTGAAGTATTACTGTTAAAGAGCAATATATTCTCTTGTGTTTAAAATGGTGGTAGTTTCTCCCTTCTAAAGACTCCTGCATGCTTATGCCTTTACACTTATGACAAATGCACTTAAATACTGTGGCACTGTTGAATATTTGGTATTGTTTAATTTCGCTGCTTCCATTTTCAGTTTTCATTTTGCATGAAAATGGCTCCCACAGACTATGAGCCTAATTCTTGCCCCTTAAAATTCAACAGCATTACTCCCATTGACTCCAATGGAAACAGAGCTAGGCTCAGTATGAACTAACAATTGCTTGACATTGGTTTAGTTACCTATAAATAATCAAAGTGCTGATTATGTTATAAATATAGAAATTGAATAGATAACTTAAGTAGGTTTCTCAAACCCCACTATTCAGAAAACTGCATTATGTTATTTATGTTACACAGGGATCTAGGAATTGCCATACTGGATCAGACCTGTGGTCTGTCTGGTCAGCATCCAGTCTCCAACAGTCTCCAGCATCAGATGTCACAGAACCACCTGCACAAACCCACCAGGAGGCAGAGGTGGGGTAGTTTGCTCCACATTAAGATGTCATTGAAATCCTTAATAATAGAGATGTAACTGTGTTAGTCTGGTCTTGCTGAAACAAAAGACAGGACTATGCAGCACTTTAAAGACGAGTCTTTAAAGTGCTGCATAGTCCTGTCTTCGGTTTCATTGAAATCATTGACATATTTAAGTCCTTACACAATGTTTTAGAACTTTTCAAAATGTGTTAACATTAGCTATAAGTTAGGATAGTCTTGTTATTCAAATAAATGTCCAGTACCTCCTTGATTATCACTGAGCTATTGGTTTCAATTACATCCTATAGTAAGGAGTTCTAGAGTCCAAATGCGCACTGAGTGAAAATATATTTCTCTTCACCAATTCTGAAATATTTTACCTTCCATTTCTTTCAATATCCCTTATGTTAATGTTAGGAGCAGGAAACCAGAAACTCCTGATGTACCTTCTTTAGACCATGTTATATATTTGTATAACGTACCCTTTTATTGTTTCCTAAGGTGAACAATCTCCTTTAGTTTTCCCATCCCTTAATCCAGCATTTCTCAAACTGTGGGTCCTGACCCCCTGGGGGAGAGAGGGGATCGCGAACAACTGAGAAGGTGGTTGCAGCAATGGGGGTGGGGGGAGGGTCACGGTATCACAAGTTTGAGAACCCCTGCCTTAATCAGTCACCTTTCTCTGAAGCCCATCTAATTCTGCAATATTCTTTTTGAGACAAGATGACATTAATACACATTTTGTATTCTAAATACTACTGATTTGTAAAATGGCACTGTATTTCTACATTATTCTCCATCTTGTTCCTTCAGGATCCTAACATCCTGCTTGTTTTTGCTGACCACAGCTGAACAGAGGACTGTTTATAGCAGGGGTGGGGAACCTAAGGCCCAAGTGCCGGCTGTAGCACCTGGCTTGCCTAGTTGCGGCCCCCAGTGCTCAGGGTTCCCCCCCAGCCTTTGGAAGCCCACACTAGTGCTCCAGCCCCTCTACCATGCCCCATAGGGCTCAAGCACACAAAATCTACTAGCCTGGGCTGACCAAGGCTCTAGTGTATGAGGGGAATGTGGAGAATGTCTACTCAGTTGGGGGCCACCTCAGTGAGGGGTGAGGATTTTTCTATGGGTCAGCAACTCCCAAACCAATAAAGGTTCCCTACTCCTTATCTACAATGTCATCTAGGTCCCCTTATTGTTAAATTAAAATCCGTGATATACGAATAGTTGAAATGTTTCCTTTCAGTGTGCAATATTTTATATTTATCATTGAACTTCACCTGACCTCATGTTACCTATTCACCTAGTCTACTAGTCTCAAATTTCTCAGTTGTCTCTGGATTTCAATAACTTTAAGTTGATTGCAAATTTTGCAAACTGACTGATAACTTTCTTTTCCAGATCATTAATACATTAGTAAAAATTCTTGAGGTAGCCTACTCTTCAACTTTTCCAATGACAAAATTTATTCTTACTTAGTTCTCTACATGAGACAATTTTTGATCCATGACAGTATGTTGACTCTCTTCCCATCGCTAGTTATTTTCTGCAGTAGCCTCTTGCAAGGAACCTTGCCAAAGTCAATCTGGAAGCCCAAATAACTTATACAAAATACAGGACTATGTAGCACTTTAAAGACTAACAAGATGGTTTATTAGATGATGAGCTTTTGTGGGCCAGACCCCAGATCAAATCTGAGGAAGTGGGTTTGGCCCACAAAAGCTCATTGTCTAATAAACCATCTTGTTAGTCTTTAAAGTGCTACATAGTCCTGTATTTTGTTTCAGCTACACCAGACTAACACGGCTACATTTCTATCAAATAACTTATGTCACTCATATCTCCTTTTGTCATTGCTTTATTGACATGTTCAAATAAATTAATAGCTTAGATACTGAAACTGTGCTGGTTTGACATTATCATATCATTATCTGCCAGATGTTCTATTTTTAATTATAATTTCAACCACAGTATCAGATATAAAATGTAAAGCTGTGTAGTATACAACTTGATCGCTCATCTCTACAGCCTTTTAAAAAATATATGTACAACATTTACTTTCCTCAATATTTCTATAATGCAGTGATTAAAAACCAAAATCTCTGCATGTTTGCAATAGCAGCCCAGTTGCTTCATTCTTAAACTCTTTAGAACTCAGATGTATACAATCTGGGCCTTGTGTCTTAAAGTATAAGTTTGTTCCAACATCTTGTCTTCTGACATCTCAGATTCAAATAGCACCTCATCGTAAAAAAATTGTTCCATGACAGAAATCTTCCTAACATCCTCAGCCATGAAGTTTTATACTAATAATATCCTTATCTTCCTTAACTGCTCTCTGACCTAATGATAGTGGGGCCCCACAAATTCTTTCATTAAAGCAGAAACAGAAATCTAATATATTGTTGTCTACCTTTAGATATTTGTTCTTCAAAATCTATTTTGGCCCTCATATATATATTTCCTGCTTTAATTTATGCTTCTAGTGATTTGTTTCTCTCTGGTTAAATTTCCATATTTTGCAGCATCTCTGGCTCTCACAGATTCTCTAAATTTGCCATAGGCACAGTTTACTTCCTACCTTCCTTGTGTTCATAAGTAAACAAGCAAAACCCACACACCACTTGTGTCTCACATGTGGCCTTCCCCACTGTATATTCTAAACATATTGAGCCATTCAACATACTAGCAAGGGAACATGAGTTATACATGCTAACGGCTGGTTGCAACCTAATGTAAATCCGCCATTGTGGCTGAACCTGGATAAAACAGACTCAAACCAGAAATAAGTGAGGATAAGCTTATTAGCATGGTAAAAAGCAAAAAATAATTAGGAGAACTGGTAAATATGACATTTCCTTTGATAGAAGGGATCTGTCTGCTGTTTCACAAGTTTGGGGGCTACAACAGGTTGTAGTTGGCAGAGCTGTTAAGAGATAAAGAGGCAAAAGCAGACAAATACTTAAAAAAACCCTCTCCTTGGGTGTAAGGTGGCAAATTCACCGTCAGCTGTGGCATTCCTCCCTTTAGAACTTGCTTCCTGCTTTGGTGTGACAGCCCCAAGTGAGCTGACTTATGGAGCGTACTGTAAGACTCATTTACTTCCTAGACTTTTGAGATGAGGATGAGTGGGAATTTGTTCCCAACAGGCTGATGGAGGAGGAGAATCCCTATTTTGTTACCAATGTATAGTTTTTGAAGACATATATTAGAGTACATTTCTACAAATCAAAGTAAGCGACATGCCTTAACTAGCAATCTCAAATAATCTCAAATAGAACACACAAGCAATATAAACTTTGTTTAGTTCCACTGGTTAACATGAAAGTGAAGTAAATAACTGTCACGTACTGAAACTGACTATGGCAAGAGCTTTTGGATTACTCAAATTACACTGTACTGACATGTTTTAAAGTTCAACTAAGCATTTCCAATGTTAAATGGAAACCTTAGCACTTGAGATTTCCGACAGAGCTAATTAAAAGAGATGTTCTCCCTGGGTTACGAAATATAAAAATGTAATTTAAGTGTCAAAGGTTTAAATAGTGCATATTTGCATACTAAATGTGTATTTCAATTGTAACTAAATGCAAGTTTATGTATAACATGCTTTTGAAATACATTTATTGTTTGTACAATACACTCATTTGTATGCAAATACACATGCAATATTCCTGAATGTTAAATGATGTGAGAAGTTTATAAAATAAAATACACAAAGACATATCAAGGTTTGATTTTCACCTTTAATATGCTATGATACTTTGTTACTTAATATTTCTGTAAAAAGTTATTACAGATTTATAGATTATTGCAGTGATTTCTAAGGAAGATTTTCAGCCCTGAGGCTGAAGCCACATATTATATACATTGTTAGTCATTGGCATTATTTACTACAGCATGAAGGACAATGCCTTTAAAATAAAGATAAAGCAACATTTAACTGGAAAACATTCAAACTGAAAATTGAGCTTTTTTCCTTACATTTCTGTAACCTAGCTATTACCCACAAATTACATTTTAAAAATAGTATTTTCTGAATAGTCACAGAATAAAAAATTCATGATGAAAATTAATCAGTTTTGTCTAGATATGCTTTGATGAGCACATTGCAGGTTTTCAGCAAATCTTAGTTTTACCAAGCATCAGAAGGCAAAAGCCTAAAATGTAAAAGCTTCCAATTTCTCTGACTAGTCCATTCTCCTTGCTCTGGAGCGATCAGTGACCCATACTGCTTTGCTTTAAGACAGTGCACTAATCACTATTACTGTTCTTTATTGTGGTTGATGCCAGCAGGAAGACAAAATTCAGGTTCTTAAGATGCAAGTCCTAACAAAAAACCTCCAACAAATCCACTGGATACTACTATATTCTGTTTGATAAATTCTGTTGCCTGAAAAAGAAAATAGTTTTTAGAGATCTGTGTAAAACCATTACACCTAATGGGAACATTTAATATTTTATCATGATTAACCAGAGAACAAAGGTAAATATTTGTATTCAACTTATTTTTTCAAAACTTGTTAGTTTAGCAAATATAGCACATACTGCAGTCAGTTATAGTTCAGCCTGACTCTACAAACTTAGACAATGTGCCTCATTCTTTACTTCTAGCAAAGCTCTTATGCCAATACCAGCCTTTTGCTGTGCAGAAACGGTGCATTGTACACTTCTTTTGTAAGAATGTAAGAGCAAGGGTAAGACCAGTAAGCTCATTTCAGTTTTAACCAGACACAGAATTACAGGTATAATTCGATCAATTATATCAGTCATTTCTTTTAGATCCACACTTTAACTTTTAACCTTTGGTAAATCAAATACCATATGAAAGCATAGTACTATATCAACATGTGTTTGGGTATAAATAGCAATGCGATATAATCTGTGTGTTATGACAGGCATGCAAAATAAATGTGATTTAAAACTCTTCTATGATGTAATAGGCATTTTGCAAACAATAGCATTAGATATTTCAGATAACAAAATAGTCCACAATTTTAAAATCAAAGCCATTTCATTTCTCCCTAGACCACTCCTCACACCCAGCGAAAAAAGATTACATTACATTTGATTTAGAGAGCAGTATACCAACTTTAAGACTGGAATTAAAATTATAAAAGTAATTTGGAAACTGAAGTACAATTCCATACAAGTTATGTTGGAGACTACAAGATCTTTAAGTACAGTGCAGGCATTTCAATGATTCTCTGCAGATTTCAAAAGACAGACTTCAAAATAAGTAAACAGAAAATTAAGGATACATGGTATGATGTTTCAAGTGAGAAAAAAAAAAAAAGAAGCAGCCCATACATCTCCTGGCAAAAAAGTCTCACTTTTTCTAATGTTGATAGTTTCTCCTCAGTACATCAACATTATGCACACCACAGACACATTTTAGACAGTAGGGACGTAAAATCCTGTGTAATGGGTTAACCTATTAAACGTGAAGTCACTCACGTTAAACTGGTTAATCAATTAAGGTGGGATGCTCCTGCCTGCCCCTACCCCAATACCGGAGCTGCTTCGGACATACAGAGCAGGCCCTATAGAGCTGGTGTAGACCAAGGCGGGAGGGGAGCTGCTCCAGCCCCCACTTCCCTGGTTAACTAGGGAAGCAGGTAAGGGTGATGCTTACTGGTTAAGCAGTTAACTCCAATAGAGATGTGAATGGTTAGTTCCCATTACTTGTACATAGGCAAACTCATTACTCATTTTAAAGTAGTACTTCACCAGCAATTATTTTAGAGATTATCTGCACTTGCTTGGTTAAGAGTATAGCAGAGAACAATAAAGACTTGTAAGACAGGTGTTTATACCACCATCAGTTCCTGATTTGGCAAGAAGCTCAAAGCTTACTAATACACATGAATTTAATACCAGCTCCAGAAGATTTTTACTTCATTGAAAAGAGGAATAGAGTAATTTTTTTTAAATCATAATTTTGAGCTGTAACACCACAACCAAAAAGCAACCTGAATAAAGTGATAAGCAACCAGTACTCTAGAGTGCAGCAGCAGGATGCAAATATCCAGAACTGGCATATTGGATGGCTACTGTACCTCTTTTATGAAGACAAGCCTTGAAATTTGATCAGTATAATTATTGATCAGTATAATTGATCAGTATAATTATTATGGTCCATCATGAGAACAAAAAAATCCACACCTGGAAGTAAACATTAGTATAACAAACAGGAACGGGGACATCCTGCAGGACTGCTAACATTTACTAAAACACACAATCTCATTAACAGAACATATTTCTGCAAGTCTTCTCTAAAACTGGGTCTATGCTCCTGGAATTTTGCACATGCTGTCTAGCATTTTAGTTATCAGGCATAACTGTGGTCAAATAAACTATGTCTAAACTACACCCCTCTGTCGGAGTACAGGATCTTTCAAAAAAGCACCCCGTTGTCGAAAAAACCTCGTATAAACCACGGTTTCATTTTTGAAATGATGCTTGTTCGAAACAGCGCCATGACACAATTATGCAAATGAAGCACAGCATATTTAAATCCCCGCTTCATTTGCACTTTCGAAACGTCTAATTTACATACCTCTGCCGACAGGGGGTGTAGTTTAGACATAGCCATGCAGTGGGAGACCAGAATCCTCAACCACTGAAATCTTAATCAAAAGGAAAGAACAATTTTTTAAAAACATCTTACCTCTTCAATGAGGGTGCTGATTTCAGGTGCTGCCCTGTTTGCACGTTTTTTTATCTGCTTTTTTGCTTTGTTTACATCTTTCTCAACTCTCTTCCAGTCAACTTGCACATATCCACTATGACTGGCAACCTAGGGGAATTAAAAATATTAAATAAGAACAACTGCACTAACCAAAATAAGAGCCAAAGAGTCAAATCACAAGATGTTTGTATCCATCTAATTTTAAAAATTTGTTTTGAGTTTGCTTTTTCTAGAGATAGACAAACATGCACATTCAAGTTCTTTAGTTACAGATGCTATAAATAATGTTGCAACATTATTTCTGTAATAAATCAAAATTATGATTTTGAAAAAGAACTGACAAGGTTTGATATATCTTGTTTCTCTACCTCTTCCCTATTTTTTTTTAAATCCTATGCTTGAGAATAATTTACAGGTTAATTTATCGAGGTCAAATTATCTACTCAATAGTTATTGCTGCTTTACTTCCAACAAAATAGAAACTGAAAGCACTTTTATCATGGGATTAAAACATGGTTTTGTTTCATTTTAATTTCTTTCAGCGTCACTGCTGAAATCTTAATTTAGGACAAGACACTCAGTGAATCCGTTATCACGGAGCTACACAGAAATATCCTGTCTTTATTATTATTACTATTAAACTGTCTAGCATAAGAACCTGATACTACAGGACTCTAGCACTCTATACATCATTAAGCACGGTTTATGTATCATTGAATAACTACTTCTACCATAATGCTCACAAGATATTAGCAATCAATTATGGGCAAATAGAGGAGCAGTCACAGACAGTTCACGCTAACTTAAAAAACAACCCCCATCAGCTACAAAACCCCATTTTTTACTATGAATGTTTTATTCCTCCATATTTATTATTATGCCCTGATCCTGAAAACACTTAAGCAGCTGTGTAATCTGACACACAAATAGTCCTACTGACTTCAGTGAGACTATTCACAAGTACAATGCACATGTAAGTGGGTATAGGATGAGGGCCATAGATTGCAAATTTTTAGGGCAGAGGAACTGCATTTTCCTGTAAGAGTGGAGAATATTAACACAATGTCCATAATGTCTTACTATAAGTCCTCTTGTTTGGAAGACACAATTATCTGAGAACGGAAAATCAAAACTAGAAAGGTCTGTGATGATCTTTTAAATGTTGGAATAAAGCCATTCTACATAGCCATTAAAAACATATTATTCTTAAACTTTATAGATAAGTTTTGGTTTTATATTAACTCAAAGTCTGAGATTCACCTAGTGAGAAAGTCATGTAATGAAACCCAATTCACAATCTTAGGTATGGGGCCCATGAATAACTCCTCCATTACACCTTGCTTGAATTTAAATGACACATTTTGATTTGCAGTCACTGGGTTTTGCTGAAGCCATTAACTCAAAAGAATCTGATTAGATGGATTATCTCAATGCAGTTACTCACAGGGGCTTTGTACACCTTTGTTACAGAACACAAAGAGAACGCAGATGTAGATGCAGCAGGAAGACTGCAATAAAGAACCAACTTCTCCAACAGCAAGTTTCACCAAAATTAAACCAGTCAACCTGAGGAAGTGCTTGTCAACCACCTCCTAATAGCATTCAGTTTTAATACAGACAATGTTTAAAAGTTTAGCCTGCTTCTGATTTAGAATCTTATACTTAGACAGTATTACCCACCACAATGTGTATAGCTTAACAAAATGTTTAAGATATTAATACAAGTCATACCGGAGTTAACAATGAACTAAAAGAAACAGAGAAGGTAAATCTTCCTTTTGAAGAGTTAAACTCCAGGGATTAGATCTTTGGAAAATATCAATCAACACAGAGACATTTTAAAAAAAAATCAATGCAACTACTGTGGTTTACAGACATTAAGGATCTGGCCCAAAAATATTTGTACTAAAACTTGTTAGATTCAATGCATTTGCTTAAAGGCAAATTTCCAATATAAGAAATTCCATTTGCTTTGGCAGTTCTGCTGAATGCCCCTTTCATGTGGTGCACAAAATTGTCGATTTGGATATTCAAACACAAAAGAATTGGAAAAACGCCCACCTTTTTATCACCTCCCATAGCATGTTGCCCTCTCCCATTTGCACTAAAATGTCCAAGCAGGCACTATGCCACGATATCATAGCTACCATAGAATCCTAGTGGAGTATCTAGCCAGATCAAAGTAGGCAGGTAAACCTAGTTTTATATCTGTCCCTTGTATGGTTTTCAAGGGTTCCCTTAGATACTAAGGATGTTAAAATGTGTGCAACTGTGTAACTGCTGAAAATTTCATGGTTAGCCGGTTACACACTATATTATTACACCAGGTAACAGCCAGTGCCCTGGGAGCCCGCTGTTAAGTGGGCTCCCCGTGCATGCCAGCTCTCACCTGCCATTCCATATCAGAGGCGGGTGCACGGGGCAGCAGACAGCTCCCTGTGAGCCAGCTACTGCCCCACGCTGTAGGAATGTAATAATATAGTCAATTAACCGATAAACAAAAATGTATAGGTTAATGCTATAGACTACAGGTACTCCTCCCACCCCCAGTAAATTTGTTAGCAGGCTGGCCAGCAGCCTGACTCAGTCCTGGCTTGCGCCAGGTCCAGGACCCACCCCTGCTGCAACTCTGCATTTAAAATATGTTAGAAGCCAGGTGGGCAGGCAGCCAGGCTCAGTTCCGGTTTGTGCTGGATCCGGAAGCTCAGACCCCTTCCACTGCAACAGGGGCTGGGGCCTGTTTTTTTTAAAACTGGCACCCCTCACGGACCACTCCTGCCTGGCACCCCACACTGCTGCCTCTGACAGAAAAGCAGCAGTGTAGAGTGGCAGGGGGCTCTCCAGGAGGGGCCTGAGTGTACTGGCTGCCAGACCCACCCCTGGGACTATTGAATAGTCAACTGATAAGAATTCATGAGGTTAATCGACTATTCAATTCACCAATATTTAACATCCCTACTGTGTTGCTGCCTCTGGAAGCTGGACAGGGAGCCGTGTGCAACTGTTTGGGTAACCGATAAGCTCATGCTTATTGGTTACCCATTTAAACAGCTACACTCTTGTAACCCTATTATTACAGAATCACTTAAGTGAAGACTTGAACTCATCAATGGTGCTTTAAACGGAATGAGTCCAAATATGAAAAATGACTAACTATAAATAAAAAGTGTTTCATAATTAAATTATGGCTAACAGAAGATAGAGTGCCAACGGGAGCAAAAAACAGTAAAACATTTTCTTGTTAAATTGAACAGATATGACTAATATATACAAGTAAAGGGGCATGCTCCATCAACATCTTCAGATGCTCCAGGAAACTCAGATTCTCCCCTGAGTGTTGGCTCACCTACTTCTCCCAGTAATCTCTCACAATAAACAGAACTCTTCAGTGATAAGGTGCTTTTTAAAAAACGAAGCAAAAAGCCACCAGTCACTTTTCAGAGCGAACCCACATTTTAAGGATTTGACCTACTTCCCCCCCACAGTTCTCCTTACTATCAGAAACTACTTAATCTAAAGGTTATTAAAGGAAAGATATTACAATTGTTGCTGTTTTGTTTCAAGACTTATTATTTGCTTTTATTTTTTCAGTGCCTCTTTATTATAGTGGACTTGAAGTGGTCTTGTAGCAGACACATTAGGAGGATTTAACCCTATTTGTTTAATTAAAAAAAAAGATACACAATCTAATTGTTCAACACTTCAAATTTCCATGACATTCAATCAAGATAAGAAGACCATGCTGCTTTCTTAATTGATCCTTTTCCTTCTCTTTCCTCACCACAAGACTTCTTTTTAATAGGATCAGTGGTAATGTTGCTAATTGAATTAGCTTGTTTTCAGAATTTGACTCATTATATATGAGAAACTAATCACATAATATATTTTGTTTTATTTTTCCAACTAGGATCCCTTGAAATTAATGTAATATAAACTAAAAATATTGAATTTCAGAAAACTTTCACAAGTTGGACCCTATGGGTATATCTACACAGCAACATTCTTTCAAATTAACTTAGTCCACGTCTATACAGCAGGCAGTTATTTTGAAATACTGTCAAGCTGGAGGACTTCCGTTCCTACTTCGACTCCAATAACCCTCATTGTATGAGAAAGAGTGCTCTATTTCAAAATAAGTGCTGTGAAGATGCTCCCTATTTCAAAATAAGCTACGTAGTTGACATAACTCAAAATAAGCTATGCAAATTGAGCTAAGCCCTGCTGTGTAGACACACCTTACTTGAGTATCCTTCCCAGCAAATGGGCCCCATTCTTGTTCCAGTGGATTGCTCTGGTATCTGTAATTTCTCAACATTTTGCATTACAAAACTTGCAACTTCAAAACAAACCTTAAAGGTAATTGCTAGTCACAGGCTGAAAACCTTTCAACCTGTTCAATGAATGCATTCAGGAAATATTCCTGAATTAAAAGTGAATGTACTTTGTATACTTACAGGTGATTTTTAAATGAAAAAACTGAAAGCCTATAGAAATGTAATTAGACTACCACACAATTTATGACTAATCTTTAATATGCAAAGTACCTAGATTTAAATGACTAAAACATTTACTTCTAGAAGAGTCTGATCTGAATTAAAGGTAAAGACAACTAAACCTAAATGTACATCTGAATAGTTCTACCCCACCCAATTCCCACTCGTAAGTTTTATCAGATATTTTCCATAGGAAAGGCCAACGCAATCTCCCTCAAGATGTACATAAACCGATTCAAGAAAACTTGTTTTCCCCATTTGTATATAGACTCTTTAGTGATTTACTCACTGTTCTTTCTTTAATTCAAAATTTGTGACAGAAATTGATAAGGCTAGCCAAGTAATAGAATGTTGTATTGCTAAGTAGGAAATCCAGTTCTGAAACCCAATCCCGTGCTCTTCTTAGTTTAAACAGAGTTTGAAGGGCAATGAGTACTTTTAACTCCACAGGCTATGCCTACATGAAAAATTGAATCATTCTCAACTGATCCAGAGGTGTACAGGTTTAAGGCAAGCAATTCAGTGTGTCCACATTGATTTGTGCACCATCTCCATGTCTGGTTTATACTACACAGTTTCTGATGCAATAGCCTTAGGGTACATATTCCACAGTACCAGGCACAACTAATAGCAACGGTCTGTCTTAGATATTTCAAAAGACCAACAGTAGAGAAGGACACTTTTTGAGAAAACTACCAGAATCATTATTAACTCATTTCAGTGTTGTCCCCACTGGCAATAAAATGGAGCAAATTGAAACATTTCTCAGACCTGCTGAAAATCCATACCATTTTTGGAACATACATAAACTAACTGGAATACCTGTATGAGAAAACATGATATTTAACAAGGAAGGGTGGGCAATTACCCCTATCAGGCTGCCTTATTGTAAGTCTGGCAATGTTAATTCAAAAATAGTATTTTAATTTTTGCATTAAGGTTTTCATTCTTTCAAATCACTTGAAACCATTTTTATTTAAAAACATTAGATTATTCCTGTTCATTATAACATTTCTGACCATTAATTTTACATACAGTTTTTAAAAGATAAGTAAAAATACACCAACAGTATTTTTCTAGTATTTGGTAAGGCTTATCTGGTAAGGCTTACTTAATAAAGGACATAGGTATAGAACTCTCCTTCCTTTCCCAACCCCAGTATAACCAGGAACTGAGTATTTTCCATATAATTCAATTATAAAACATCGCCTAAATATTAAAATATGAAATTCTGTATACCTGAAGTAGAAGAAATCCACCACCTACTGCAGTTGCTGCAAGTTTTCCAACTTTCTGGAACAAAAATCCTGCACACCTTAGAAGACCCAAAAAACAACATTCCAATAAAGTTAAGATTGTCTGGCCCACAATGTCACTTTTCAGAATTCTCATATTAAATCCAACTATGATTTCAGATTTACTAAAATGAGTTTCACTTTCTAATTTCTTACTCCGCAGCCTGCAAGGTATAAAACATTACAGACTTATATAATATTAAGATGTTTTGGTCACATAGATCAGCTGTTCCCGACTGCCAGTCTACGTACTGGTGTCAGGCAGCAGACTGCTGGCTGCCGGGCCACAGCGGCCGCCAGAACTGAAGGTGGCTTTTCATGGCAACTCACTGCACCGCAGCTGGCTTTAGCTCCAGCAGCCGTGGTAGCTGATTTTGCCCGGCAGTAGTGCTGGGGCTGAGGAGGCGGCAGGAGGTAGAGCAGGCAGTGTCTCCCTTCCTCCTCCTCCCTCCCACCCAGGTAAGTTGGCGGCCTGGCTGGAACTCCTTGGTCCTCCCCACCTCTACCCATGGGGACATGAGACATGCTTGGAGAGGGAAGGGGCACGAAGGAGGAAGAGTGCATGCCGCCAACAGCCACTCCCCTACCCACGTGGCAATAACAGCCATGTTCCCTAGACGGGGTAGCATCACTCTGGAGAGTGTGGGGGATAGAGTGAGGTCTAAGGAGTGTTGAGTGAGGTGTGGTGGGGGTCACATGGCAAGAGGGTTTTGGCATGGGCTGTAGAGATCAGGTTAAAAGATCAAAAGGCACAGGGTGTAAGGTGGGGGGGGCAAGAGGGTTTTGGCATGGGCTGTAGAGATCAGGTTAAAAGATCAAAAGGCACAGGGTGTAGGGTGGGAGGGGTCAAAGGGTGTTAGGTACTAGGAAGCAAGGGGCTGGGCTAGGGTTAAGGGCGGGGGGGAGAGATGGCTGGGGCTGAGGGACAGCGGGGTTAGAGGTGTATTACAATGGGTCACTGGTTATGGAGCCAAGTGTGCTGCAGCTTGTACTTCTGTCTTATGTGGCAGCAGATCTGAGGGTGTCTGAGCAGAGTCCAGGGGCCTCAGAGCTTGTGGAATAGGTAGCTGCAGGGGCAGTATCAGGGTTTGGCACAATTAGCAGTCATAGAGTTTGTGGAGCAAGGGGATCCAGAGGGTAGCAAGGCAGGATCAGGAAGCACTGGGACAAGATCCGGGGAAATAGGAGGGAGTCAATTTCAGTCAGGGTTTGCTGGGACACAGCATGCCAAGGTTGGCAGTGACAGCGGCTGTAGGACAGGCCCCAGGCAAGACATGTGGTTGACAAAAGAAAGGTGGCAGTAGGGGGTGTTGGGAAGTGAAAGACAATGGGCATTGGGGTGACAGACTTGTGAGGTAATGGAGTTAGTCGGATATAGGGGATATCAAACAATGAGTTAGGCATGTTTAATAATACAGAGACACAGAGTACCAGGGTTGGCTAGACGGGGTCAGGGGGTTCTGGGGCTGGAGCTAAAGGGATGTGTAGTGACAAGACAGGGTCAGTGGGTGAGTGAGTTGGCAGACAGGGAGAATTTTATTTGTATGTTTGCATATTCACTATTTGCATAATTACTGTGCAAATAAAATGTTATCAGTCCACCAAAAGTTTGTGAATGGGTTTGCCAGTCCATGGTATAAGGAAAGTTGGGAACTACTGACTTAGATTAAGCACAAGACTAGATCAGTGGGATATTGTCAACTAATGGTTATTTGATGTCCTCTGTGAACTGAGTTGGGGGCTTCAAGCCTTGTGTACACACAAATTAAATTGCACCACAAACTGGTACAGTCGAAGAGTTCAAACAGTTATATCAATATAAAGGTGCCTTTTTAGGTACATCTAATCTGGTAGGGAAGGAGGATAAGCTATACTGGCTTAAGGGACTTTTGTACCAATATAACTGTATCCACAGCAGGAACTATGCAGATTGAATTATTTAATCAAAAAACCCCAACATATCCCCAAACAAAATAGTTAAACCGGTATAAAAAATGTGTGTAAAGAAAATTCTAGTCTATTTTCGGGTAAAGAAAAGCTTCTGTACTATTTAACCTTTATGGTGGCAGACATGGAGATAAGTCCAGCACCTTGGCCTCTGCATGCTGGGACTTGAGCATTTTTGTAGGGCTCTTAAAAACAGGTTTCACCGCTGCTCCACAAATGGCACCAGTTTTTTAGATAAATACTTCAATTTCTATGCACCTCAATTTGACACTTGTCATGATTTTGGCACTAGACTCCCATTATACCTAAAAACACCAAAGGCTTTTATGCATTTATCTATTATTTATAACATCTATAGGGAAACATAGGTTAAAAATCATATTAAAACTACCAATTTCCCCCAATTCTATTATGAAACACCCCATATTATTTACACAATCTTAAAAATAAGTCTTTTCACCATTTATGCTTTTTTTTTTTTTTTTTTTTTTTAAAGACTTCACTCAGCCTAGTCCATAGAGATTCTATTGTCATTTAGCCAGCTTTACTTTCAGGTTCTCATGTATTTGCATTTTAAACATAATACCATTGTTTAAATCCAAAAGTATCTGTTTTCATAAATGTAAAAAAGTGTGCTCTTATAATACTAATATTTCTATGTAAGTACTTAATACTTTATACTTATGATTGAAGTTTTTTTTAAAAAAACAAAACAAAAACAGAACATTTCACTACCTGTAAGTAAAATTGTAGAGAAGTTCAATTTAAGTGGCTTTTGCTTTTAAATACAAAAGCACTTTCACTTAACCTCTGCTGTGCCCCACAATTCTAACAGTTTTACATGCAAATCTTATTCACAACAAATCAATCAGGTAGTCATGTCTATATTATACATAATAAAGTATGCTACTCCATAGCAACACAATCATTATATACAGTAGTTTTCCATTTGTTTTTTTTAAAGAAGTGTCACATCTTCAAAACTCTTTTACAATAATTGGCAAAGAATCTCTTTTATAATAGGTGCATTCCAGACAGGGAATTTGAAGTGTGATCTAGTGCCAGTTTTTTCCTTATCTCTTGGATTTACAGTTAATTAGAAAACCAGGCAACCTCAAACAGCTTATCATTTTGAATGATACAGAACAATCAAAAATTTAAGAACAGTGACGTGCATGGCATGATAATTAAAAGAGATCCTCTCTCACCAGCCAGTCACTCCGCCCATTACAATCTGAGTGGCTACAGAATACTTTTCTACAATTGGTCCAGAATTTCGGCCAAACACACGATTCCACCAATGGTGACGCCTTGCATATTCTGTTAAATCCAATACTTCATAAGAATCATCATCGCTCTCATGCTCTTTAAAAAAAAATTCAAGATTACCATTAGTGACTCTCCTTTTAGTAAGTTGTTCAAAGCAAGTTATAAAAGCATTGGTTCAACTTCTCAATTGCATAGTAAATTTATGCTTTTCGAAAACTAAAACGACTAACAGAATCACTAAGTTACTATAAAAGTCTCAGCCATCTTTTTTTAAATTTTGAGGTAAATATGGGTCAACAGACTGGTAAATTAGGAAGACGCACAGATAAGGCTAGGGTGTTACCATATTACTATCACTTGTAAACAACATTTAATAGTCTTGACTACTTAAGATGGAGGACAAGTGACTCAAATAACAAAAACATCAGCCCTAACAAGCTGGCACTGAACTTTCCTGTTATCAGTGGTAACTACAACTGCAAACCATCCACTTTATTTATTATGTTGGGGATAGAAACATCAAACAGGGATTATATTTAGCAGGCCTTGGCCACCCACAGTTTTTGTACGAGTATTATGATGGTTAGGGCCGTGATTATTGTTAGCCCAAACTACAGGGCTGTGCCCCCTGCTCGCTAAGATTGCTAACCCCCTCTCCCTGGGGGTAGGCATCTGGCCAGGGGGTAGTAAGCAGGAGAGGACTGGGGGCAGTGTGTCTGGCCAGGAGGGAGGGAGCAGGAGCAGGCTGGGGGTAAGTGTCTGGCCAGGGAGGAGGGGACAGGAGTGGGATTGGAGAGGGCGGGGGGCTGGAGTCAGGATCTGATGGCAGAGGGGACTCGGGGTGTTCTGGAAGGCGGGTGGGTGGGGGCTTGGATAGCAGAGGGAATGCGGGGCAACACGGGGGAGCGTGCACAAGGTCAGGCTCAGATGGCAAAGGAGACCCTGCCCCAGCAGTTCCTCCCCAACAGCGCAGCCCCCAGAGGTGTAAAGTGGGAGCTGGAGCTGCCCAGGCCCGAAGGGGAGGGCACCGAGGCTGGCCACAGCAAGCAGATGAGACCGGAGGCAGATGGCAGCAGCACATGGATGTTGATGACATCATTCCGTCATCCCACAGGAAAACTTTTTTTCTCTATATAAAAAAATGTTCTCCTGTAGGACGACAGTGACATAATCACAACACTCTGGTGTCCCCACAGCCCCTTCCCCTGCCTTCACCCACCCTGCCTAGAACTCCCGCAGGCAGCTGGATCCAGGCGGCCTTGCCCCTCCCAGAAGGCCAGGAGCTGCACAGCCTTTCCTCCTCACACGCGGAGCTGGGATAGGGATGTAAGCAATTAGAAGACTATCTGGTAAGCTTTTAGTGACTCGACTAAGTGCTTTGCCCCCCTTCCCCCACCTTGCTGTCTCTATCAGAGTCAGCGCGGTGGGGGCTGGGGGGAGGGAAACAGGAGCCAGAGCTGGGGGAAGTGGACAAAAACTGCTTCCCCCCAACACCATTTCCGCGGGGGGCAAAGGAGGCTGAGGCATAGTGGAGAAGCCAGAACTGCAAGCCAAACAGCCTTCCCCACTTGCAGGGGAAGGGGACGGAGCCACTCGCCCTTTCCCTCTCATGATGGGGAGGTCGGCCATGGCCTTGGTGTAGGCTCCCCTGCGGCTAGAGGAAAGAGCTGTTGCTACATTTCAAAGATGGAGGTGCCCTTATCCCCCCACTCTCTTGGGCTAAGCTGTTGCTAAGGGGGTTGGCATCTGGCTAGGGGGTTGTTGCCTCAACTATTCAATGAGCCAATTCATCTAAATTTAACATCCCTACAAGGAACCACCCTATACCAACCTACAGCACTTTTATATCAGTAGCGTGTCTATGTGGGAGAGAACTATGCCAGCATTGCACCACCACTCGGATCTCTTTTTTTGTTTAGAGTCAACAATCTTCATGTGGAAGGCAACTATGGAAACTTCTTCACCATCACCCTGGCTCTGTGAAGTACCTTATACATTCAAAAAGACTCAGAAGGGTACACGAGAGGTCCTGTAGCACCTTAGAAACTAACAAAGAGAGATAGAAAGATGCAAAGAAGTGGGGGTTGGCCCCCGAAAGCTCATGATGCTACACACACACACACACAGACACACACACAGACACACACACACAGAGAGAGACTCTAATGCGCTACAGGACCCATTCGCTGTTGTTGTTTTTTAATTCTTACATCCCTGGGTGGGAACAGGCTCTGACCAAGGCCCTGCCTGTCACAGCCCATTCATTCCTCTACTTCCTTTCCGGCGCAAGCGAGGGCTGCTGGGCCCTTTGGGGGGC